CTTTGTGCTTTGTCCTGTCAATGGCGATGGTTACTGACAAATAGGTTAGTTACCTGAAAAGCCCTGTTTTGCCCCCTTATTTGCAGAGGAGCCTCCCAAGGTCTCCTGTGCTGGCTTGAGGAGGGGCCGTCATCTTTTCCCCTCTCCCCTTCCCGGAGATTCTCAGCAGCAGCAGTGGGGGACAGCAGAGCTGGGGAACAGCGGAGCTAGTGCCCCGCACAGGCCTGGAAGCACATAGCGGCTGGCAGAGCAGCCATCTGTGTGGCCTGTTCACGTAGGTGAGACTTCACAGGGACACACATTGAGACCAGCTTAATCCAGGTCTCTGGCCCTGTAGCCATGCTTAAAAATTAAATAAAAAATATGTTTCTTGCCCGATCGGTGTGGCTCAGTGGTTGAGCATCAGCTATGAACCAGGAGGTCACTGTACCATTCCGGTCAAGGGCACGTGCCAGGGTTTGGGGCTTGATCCTCAGTAGGGGGCGTGCAGGAGGCAGCCGATCCATGATTCTCTCTCATCATTGATGTTTCTATCTCTCTCTCCCTCTCCTTCTCCCTTCCTCTCTGAAATCAATAAAAATATATTTAGAGAGAGAGAGAGAGAGAGAGAGAGAGAAAGGCACAGAGGCCTGGAGAGAAACCGGACTCCCCTGCATGGCCTGGCACCTCCTTCGTAGTTCAGTGCACTGGGTGCCAGCAAGCAGGGGGCGAGCCAGGCGTCCCCCATCTCCCAGAAGGCACGCTGGGATGCCGGGAGCAAACTGCTCTAGCTTTACACCTGCCGCTGGGTTGCTTTCCAATGAGCAATATGGATGAAAGAAATTCCAACACTGCACGCGAATGTTTATGCTGTTTTCCAGTTTTTAAAAAAAAATGTTTAAAATTACTTCTATTGGCTGTTTCTCACAGTGTGGGTTGTGTCCGTTGTTTACATTCCCGAGTAGTGGGTGCTCCGAAGAACTCGGTGAAGCTTTAAATGGAAGCTTCGGGGAGTGATCAGTTTCCCATCAATTCTCCGCAACCCATTTAACTCCACAAAGCGGGACCTGGGTGCCCTTTGCTGTTGCCCAAGGCTCAGCTGTCGTGCATACACCTGAACGCACCTTCCATGAAAACATCTTATTCTCTGAGCCTGTTACTGAGTTCGTGATTAGTGATGGAGGCACCATCCTCCTAGGCCTGCATGTGACTTAAGTAGGAATTTGTAAAATGCACTTACTGTAACCGTGGTGCTGGTCTGCACTCGCATCTGTAAACAAAGGGAGAGAATATGGAAGCCCCGCTTGCCTACAGTTACAGGCGAGAATGCTGACGGAAACAGCCCCATCTCTCCCGGGCTCAACCTGCTGGTCATTCCCTCTCCCATGCTCTCCTCTGGCCCCTCCTCCCTCGGAAGGGTCCAGCTCTGTGGAATCGCTCTGCTCTGTGTGTTCTCTTTAAGCCTGGTGACTGCTCTCAGGGTCTTACACTTTACTAGCTCCTTTTTAAAGACATCCTCACCCAAGGATATTATTATTATTATTTTTTAGAGCAAGTGGAGGGGAGTGAGGAGGGGTAGCTTGTATAAAGCTTACCTCTAGTTGGAAATGAACCAGGAATTGGAATTATTTTTTGATATTTTAAAAAATATATTTTGATTTGCTCTAACCAGTCTGACTCAGTGGATAGAGTGCCAGCCCACAGACTGAAGGGTCCTGGGTTTGCTTCTGGTCAAGGGCATGTACCTCGGTTGCAGGCTCTATCCTGGTTGGGGCATGTGCAGGAAGCAACCAATCAATGTGTCTCTGTCTCTCCTGCTCCCTTCCACTCTCTCTAAATTCAAGGGAAAAGTATTCTCGGTGAGGATTAACAACAACAACAACAACAAAAATAATCCTATATATAATAAGGGGCTAATATGCAAATTGTCCCCTCGACCGGGAGTTCTACCCAGAGTTCAACCAGGAGTTTGACCAGGGGTTGGGGCTGGCCCACCAACCACCCACAGTCCTCCCCAGTCACCCCGCCCCCAATCAGGGGTGGGGCTGGCCTGCCAACTGCTTGTAGCCCCCCCCCCTGGCCGGGCCCCAATGCCCCAATCAGGGTGGGCTGGCCGGACCCCACTTGTGCACGAATTCGTGCACCGGGCCTCTAGTGTGAGTGTGTGTGTGTGTGTGTGTGTGTATGTGTGTGTATAATTGATTTTAGAGAGAAAGGAAGGGAGAGGGAGAGAGAAACATTGATGTTAGAGTGAAACATCCATTACCTGCCTCTCGCAGGCCCCCACTGGAAACTGGGCCCAAAACCTGGGCGTATGCCCTGAGTGGAAATCGAACCTGTGACCTTTTGGTGCATGGGATGATACTCAACCAATTGAGACACACTGGCCAGGGCTTATTTTTTTATATTTAACACCAAACATTCACCTTATATTCTCATAATGAAATTCAATGTAGACTATGACTCCATTAAAATATCTCCTATTTTAAAAATAGAAGTCCAATTTAGAAAAGAATGACATTAGAGCAATGTATTACATTTACATGGGGATATATGTTCATAAAGTGTTTCCACATTCATGATCTTATTTGACCTTCGTGACAATCCTCTGAGGGAGAGGGGACTGGTCTTATTGTCCTCATTTTACAGATGTAAAAAAAAGACACGTGAAAACACATGTTGGCTCCTTAAGTTCCTACTTAACATCATAGCTAGCAAAATAGAGTGGCTAGAATTTGAGCCCCCCCCCTTTTTTTACTCCAAGGTTTTTGTTCAGACCTTTTATCATTTGGTAGGATTACAACAAAATCACTTGGCTTGTGAATGTTTCTGATGTTCTCTGAGACGTTATCCAGGGTCATCCTTTAATTGTGCTGATGCCACCTGGTTCATAGGATAGCTATGCCAGGAACAGTGCTAAATGCAGCTACTAAACTCTCAAAAAGTGCTCTGGGGTTCAGCAACCTCTTCATTTTACTCATATGTAGTTGTTTTTTTTAATAACGCTGAAATGTGGTTTATGGTTTCTGCTGTACATATGTATAGTGCATAGACAAAACAAAGAGAGGAAGGAAGGGAGGGAGGAAGGGAGGGAAGGAGGAAGGGAAAGAGAGGAGGGAGCGAGGAAGGGAGGGAAGAATGGGAGGGAGAAAGAGGAAGGGAGGAAAGAAGGGAGGAAGGGAAGGAGAGAGGAGGAAGAAAGAGAGAGAGGGAGGAAAGAAGGGAGGGAGGGAGGGAGGGAGGGAAGGAGGAGAAGGTTCAAAGGGAGGAAGGGAGGGAAGGAGGAAGGGAAAGAGAGGAGGGAGCGAGGAAGGGAGGGAAGAATGGGAGGGAGAAAGAGGAAGGGAGGAAAGAAGGGAGGAAGGGAAGGAGAGAGGAGGAAGAAAGAGAGAGAGGGAGGAAAGAAGGGAGGGAGGGAGGGAGGGAGGGAAGGAGGAGTCCAAGGTTCAAATTACCTGGTTGTTAAAGACTGTTATCAATCCTCTCTGAGAAGCTGCTATTAGTAAATCCAACTGGGGGATCTTGACCATGCACTTAATCACGTCCCGTCTCCGACTCCCTGTCAACAGCACAATATTCAGTTCAACTCCCAGCAGTAAAGACCCTAAAAGTCACTTGTTAGGTTTGTTAAAGAAGAAAAGGAAACAATCAACTCGTTCTCAACAGAGAAACTACTGCCCCCAAAAAGGCAGAAACTGGTGCTGGGGATATGCGAACGAGCCTCCCTCTTTCTGTGTCTAACACACAGATGTACGTGCGGTACAAGAACAGCTGCACACACAGTGCTGTGGGGTGCGGGAAGGGCGCTGAGAGGGGGTTGGGGTGAGAGGGGCCCACCATTAGGTCCTTTAGAGCAATGACAACATTTCAAACTCAACTGCAGGTACAGTTTCTTCTGATATTGCATGTGACACCGTCACTTATAAAGTAAAGTAAGTGAAAAGGGAGTCTATGGAAACGTTATATGCCAATATTTGTTTTGGGGGAAATAGTAGCACCCATACTAACTTGGAAGGGAAAGTCATACGATCACCTGTAATTACGACTCGCTGTTTTCTAGACACAAGGAAAACCAAATTTTCTTCATTCATTTGGGAAGCAAGAGGATCTTCTTCAGAGGAGTAATACCCAAAGATCTACAATCCCAAACGACACATGTCAACACGAACACTATTTCAGAATCCACTGCGAAGTAACAGATTGGATGCTGGTTGGATTTAAAGTCTTGGTTGAATGCCCAACACCTTGCCCAGCCGCTGGGGCTCAGTGGTTGGGAATCGACCAAGGAATCAGGAGGTCAGAGTTCAATTCCCGGTCGGCATACATGCCCGGGTTGTGGGCTCGATCCCTCGTGTGGGGCGTGCAGGAGGCAGCCGATCCATGATACTCTCTCATCATTGATGTTTCTCTCTCTCTCTTCCTCTCCCTTCCGGAGGAAGAAAGAGAGAGAGGGAGGAAAGAAGGGAGGGAGGGAGGGAGGGAGGGAAGGAGGAGTCCAAGGTTCAAATTACCTGGTTGTTAAAGACTGTTATCAATCCTCTCTGAGAAGCTGCTATTAGTAAATCCAACTGGGGGATCTTGACCATGCACTTAATCACGTCCCGTCTCCGACTCCCTGTCAACAGCACAATATTCAGTTCAACTCCCAGCAGTAAAGACCCTAAAAGTCACTTGTTAGGTTTGTTAAAGAAGAAAAGGAAACAATCAACTCGTTCTCAACAGAGAAACTACTGCCCCCAAAAAGGCAGAAACTGGTGCTGGGGATATGCGAACGAGCCTCCCTCTTTCTGTGTCTAACACACAGATGTACGTGCGGTACAAGAACAGCTGCACACACAGTGCTGTGGGGTGCGGGAAGGGCGCTGAGAGGGGGTTGGGGTGAGAGGGGCCCACCATTAGGTCCTTTAGAGCAATGACAACATTTCAAACTCAACTGCAGGTACAGTTTCTTCTGATATTGCATGTGACACCGTCACTTATAAAGTAAAGTAAGTGAAAAGGGAGTCTATGGAAACGTTATATGCCAATATTTGTTTTGGGGGAAATAGTAGCACCCATACTAACTTGGAAGGGAAAGTCATACGATCACCTGTAATTACGACTCGCTGTTTTCTAGACACAAGGAAAACCAAATTTTCTTCATTCATTTGGGAAGCAAGAGGATCTTCTTCAGAGGAGTAATACCCAAAGATCTACAATCCCAAACGACACATGTCAACACGAACACTATTTCAGAATCCACTGCGAAGTAACAGATTGGATGCTGGTTGGATTTAAAGTCTTGGTTGAATGCCCAACACCTTGCCCAGCCGCTGGGGCTCAGTGGTTGGGAATCGACCAAGGAATCAGGAGGTCAGAGTTCAATTCCCGGTCGGCATACATGCCCGGGTTGTGGGCTCGATCCCTCGTGTGGGGCGTGCAGGAGGCAGCCGATCCATGATACTCTCTCATCATTGATGTTTCTCTCTCTCTCTTCCTCTCCCTTCCTCTCTGAAATCAATAAAAATATATTTTCTAAAAAGAAGTCAACTCCTTGCTTTGTATATTGGCAGAAGGTCCCCAGAGGAAGAGAAGGCAGTTTAATACATTCAACACACCGTGTGGTGATGGTGCATGGTCCTTAAGCAATCCCTGATTTTCCTTTTTGATTAAAGATGGATGGACCAGGCGGGTGTCCCTGCTCAGACTGGTAGTTCTATTGGGAGCCGGCACTTTGATTTAATTATTTCTTGTAAAAAAAAAAAAAGAAAGCCCTGACTGGTTTGGCTCAGTAAATAGAGTGTCGGCCTGAGGACTGAAAGGTCCCAGGTTTGATTCCGGTCAAGGGCATGTACCTTGGTTTTGGGCACATCCCCAGTAGCGGGTGTGCAGGAGGCAGCTGAATCGATGTTTCTCTCTCATCAATGTTTCTAACTCTCTAGCCCTCTCCCTTCCTCTCTGTAAAAAATCAATAAAATATATGAAAAAAATAAAAAAGAAAGAAAAATACGACATGCATTTCATACTAGAAACATGAAGAGTGGCTACCTCACACCAGTCTGTGGGCCCATCGGGGTTGTTGCAGAGTTTCCTGTAGAAGCATTTCACGTCTTGATTCTTCACTTCCATACCGAAGAGCTCCTGCACCTCCGCAAAGAACTTCTCATAGTTAATCATGTCTGCGTCGTAAGAAAGGGCAAACACATGGGCATCAGATTCCAAGAGCTGCACGGCCTGTGGCTGCGGCCTCTTCTATTTGCTAATCTGCTCCGTTATCTCAGCCTACTAAAGCTCCATTCTTCTGCACTTTATTTATGTACTAGAGGCCCGGTGCACGAGATTCATGCATTGGTGTGGAGGGGGTGGTCCCTCAGCCCAGCCTGTACCCTCTCGAAGTCCGGGACCCCTGGTGGGATGTCTGACTGCCGGCTTAGGCCCAATCTCAGACATCTCTCTCATAGTCTGGGGCTCTCGCAGTTTGGGACACCTCGCTCCGTGCTAACCACCTACGGTGGAGGCGGGAGAGGCTCCCAACACCGCTGCTGCACTCGCCAGCTGTGAGCCTGGATTCTGGCTGAGCAGTGCTCCCTCTGTGGGACTGCACTGACCACCAGGGGGCAGCTCCTTCATTGCACGTCTGCCCCCTGGTGGTCAGTGTGTGTCATAGTGACCAGTCATCCTGCCGTTCGGTCGATTTGAATGTTAGCCTTTTATTATATAGGATTTTTTTTAAATTAAAAAAATTTTTTTTATTGATTTCAGAGAGGAAGGGAAAGGGAGAGAGAGAGAGAGAGAGAGAGAGAGAGAGATAGAGAGAGTAACATCATTGATGAGAGAGTATCATTGATCAAGCCCACAACCCAGGCATGTGCCCTTGACCGGAATCGAATCCGGGACTTTTCAGTCTGCAGGCCAAAGCTCTGTTTACTGAGCCAAACCAACTAGGGCTCGTCTGCACTTTAAAGGTTTTCTTTCCATTGGAAATAGAACTAAGGACTTGGCAAAAGATTATGTAGTCAGAAGAAAGTATTACTTTGGTGTCTAATACCTCCTCCGTAGCTTATGTTGCAACTATTTTAGGAGTTTGGTTCAGGAATACAAAGATCAGAAATGAATCACAGTTTTCTTATTGTCACAGTTCATTCCTGGTCAGGGCACATGCCTGGGCTGTGGGCTTGATCTCCAGTATGGGGCCTGCAGGAGGCAGCCGATCAATGATTCTCTCTCATCATTGATGCTTCTCTCTCTCTCTCCCTCTCCTTTCCTCTCTGAAATCAATAAAAAATGTATTTAAACAAAGAAACAACCAAAAATGTGGCCCAAGTTGGTTTGGCTCAGTGGATAGAGCATTGGCCCATGGGCTGAAGGGTCCTGGGTTCGATTCCAGTCAAGGGTCAAAGGCACGCACCTCAGTTGCAGGCTCAATCCCCGGCCCTGATCGAGGTGCATGAAAAAGGCAACCAATTGATGTGTCTCTCATATCGATGTTTCTCTCTGTCTCTCTCCCTCCCTTCCACTCTCTCTAAAAAATCAATGGGAAAAATCCTCGGGTGAGGATTAACAAACAAACAAACAAAAGGTGAATGTATGGCAGAATTAGCAGTCTAATGAAAGTCATGATTACATCTCTCCCTTCTCAATCTGTCAGGTCAGTCCCTCTGTCACAGAAGGTAGTTTGTCTAGTATTAGTTTGTCTAGTAGTACTTAGTCTTTATCAAATCTATACTTTATAAAATATATACTATCTACTATAATATCTGTATAAAACATATATATATATATATATAATATCCTCTCTATATAGGTGTATATACATATACTATGTATACATATACTATAAAGGAATATATGTGTGTGTATATATATATACACTCATACGGATACTAGAAAGGAAGGAGATTTTTCAATACGGCTTTGTGATTGCAAGCTTTTACATGAGAACAAGGTTAGCTTGCTCACTGAGCCATATGCTAGAACAGTGATGGCGAGCCTATGACACGCGTGTCAGAGGTGACACGTGAACTCATTTTTTTGGTTGATTTTTCTTTGTTAACTTGGCATTTAAATATATAAAATAAATATCAAAAATATAAGTCTTTGTTTTACTATGGTTGCAAATATCAAAAAATTTCTATATGTGACACGGCACCAGAGTTAAGTTAGGGTTTTTCAAAATGCTGACACGCCGAGCTCAAAAGGTTCGCCATCACTGTGCTAGAAGAACCCTTAGATGTCATTTAATCCACCCCCTAATTTTATACTCGAGAAAATTAAGGTTCAGACAAGTGAAAAAAACAACAACAACAAAAAAAACTTCCCCAAGATCACTTAGCTTTCAGGACTGAGACAGAACGAGGAGTCAGGCCCCCTATTTGGTGTCTTTGCTATTAAGCTGTGTTGTTTCAAACATTTCCCAGTTCTAATCAACAGACTCCACTGGACCGCCCTGGAGTCACCGATCTTACCTTCTTTTTGGGTAAACAAGCCCGCTTTTTCATCCTTTTTCTGGGCCGCTGTACGTTCGACCAGCCTTTCGAACCCCTTCAGGGATATCTTGAAACTGACCACCTGAAGTGCATTGTTGAGCCACTTCTCCTTCCCGGGATCCATGGGGATTCAGGGAAGTGTTTATTTCTGTACAGAAAAAAGAACGCAAATTTGCCAACTTGGATAACCTCCCAGTTGTTACGTTGCCTTCCTGCCGCCTCGGTTGCTCTAGGACTCATTCCTTTGACCTTACAATCCCATTCTGTGGGGAGGAGGAATCCGAGTGGTCACCAGGATGTTGGCAGGGAGGAACCTGACTGAGGTCTAATGCACGGCACGTGGGCAAACCTTGCAGGGAGATCTGACTTCACAATGTGGCCAGTGACCTTCACAGGGCACCCCCTGCATCATAATCTCCCTGTATTAGGAGGAGGCTGAGACTTGTTTTCCCACAAATGGACTGTGTGTGTGCGCACGTGTGCCTGCAGTTCCAGAGAGGGAAGAGGAATGGGTAAGATCAAGAAGGGACACTGGCCTGCCTTCCTCCCTCCTACACCCGCTCTCAATCCTCTTGCCTTCTTCCTCAAGGCACCTTGGAGAGTAACATTCACTTTTATTCTTGAGGCTGCCCTGGGTTTGAAAGCATGGACTTCTAAAAATGAAAATGGATTTCGGCATCTGCCATTTCTATCACAGATGGAGATATTTTTAGCAGTCAGAAAGAATAAAAATGCCTCGTATTCCTTTAGGCATTGTCCTTTAGTGAAAATAGAAAAGTGAGCCAGGCATGGGGAAGGGTGAGCTTCTGAATGGGAAGGAAGTTCTTCAAGGGGTTATTTATTGAATGAGAAGAGGATTTTCTGCGTATCATCTTTCCCCTCTTCGCAATCTCCAATACCGTTTACTCCAGTTGCTTTTGAATCAAGTTTTTCCATCTTCAACCCTTTATGGGAAGGAGAAGTTGTCTAATATTTTATCAACAATTAGTTAAAATCCTATGGTCTAGGTCAGTGGTAAGCAAACTCATTAGTCAACAGAGCCAAATATCAACAGTACTTCTTCAAAATAGACTCGCCCAGGCCGAAAACCGACTTCTGCGCATGGGCCACGAAGTTTCAATCGCACTGTACGTGCGCCCGCACGTGGTATTTTGTGGAAGAGCCACACTCAAGGGGCCAAAGAGCGGCATGTGGCTCTCGAGCCGCAGTTTGCCGACCACGGGTCTAGGTGACATAGATGGAGTCCATCTTTAAAAACATCTGCAAGGTGCCCTGCCAGCGTGACTCAGTGGTTGAGTGTTGACCTATGAACCAGGAGGTCATGGTTCCATTCCCGGTCAGGGCACATGCCTGGGTTGTGGGCTCGATCCCCAGTAGGGGGCATGCAGGAGGCAGCCCATCAATGATTTTCTCTCATCATTGGTGTTTCCATCTCTCTCTCCCTCTCTCATTCTCTCTGAAATCAATAAAAATATATTTAAAAAACAAAGAAAGAACTTGCATAAGAAGAAAAAAGAAGGAGTGGGGACAAACAGACTTAAAAGAACTCCAAAGATGCTCCAACCAATCATTGTGTGTAAACTTTATTTAGATCCTGACTCAACCAAACTGAAAAACAATTGCAACATTTATGAGACAATTGCAAATTGGAACACCAACTAGATGTTTGATGATATTGAGAAATTACTGTTTATTATTTTAGATGTATTATAATTTGTTACATTGCTACTTATGTGATATTCTATATTAGGACTACATACTGCAATATTTACAGATAAGCATTCAAATACAAAGGAGTGGTAAACTGTGCCAAATAATGCTAATAAGGTACATAAAGTGAGGACTGAAAGTTAAGCACTGGGATGTGCATTATGTTCACCTTGAGAAAAGCTATGTGAGAGGTACAATGGATTAAAGAGAGAGTGGGAGGAAGGGATGTGGAGACAGTAGGCATGCATGCATATTATAGCACTGGCTTTTGGGAATATCTTAAAAATGGATGCTGGCACAATTCATAGCTATTAGGCTATTTACAGAGCAACAGGATGTATTTGTACTATTTTCTCAGTTGCAAAAATGATATCACCACAAACTTACAGAATATTAAAAGTGATCACCAGCCCTGACTGGTTTGGCTCAGTGGATAGAGCGTCGGCCTGCGGACTGAAGGGTCCCAGGTTCGATTCCGGTCAAGGTCATGTACCTTGGTTGCGGGCACATCCCCAGTAGGGGGTGTGCAGGAGGCAGCTGATCGATGTTTCTCTCTCATCGATGTTTCTAACTCTATCTCTCTCCCTTCCTCTCTGTAAAAAAAAATCAATAAAATATATTTTAAAAAAGTGATCACCAATATTTCTACCATTCTTCTAAAACTATTGATTTTTTGAATACCACCTTCTAGGCCCAGGCCACATACTTTCATGATTGTATGCAGTCTCAATAGAATTATGCACATTATGTAAATATTAATGTATTATTTCATAAAGCTGTACCCATGATTCTAATATCCTTTACAAATATAATTTTTTTTTTCATTTATGTACCTTACTAGCACTATTTGGCACAGCTTTCCTTCTACTTCTTTCAATCAAATATTTTATTAATTACTTTGTACATATAAATGATTATGGAAGGTGACATATAAAAATTCAGAAGCAAACACACTCCTAGCTGTGTCGGGGAAGGAAGCAGTATTACCCCTGCTAGGGAAAGGCTCCAGGAAAAAAACAGGTGCAATGGTTTCCCTGAGCTACCATGACCTCCGCTTGTACGGGTCTTGAGAGCCGTGCGTGGAAGTCGGAGGGAAAGGCCATGACGCAAGCCTGTAGTTAGGTCTCAGCCGGTCGGTGACATGGCCCCGGCACCGATCCTCTGGTCGAAATCCTCTTAGAATAGGTAGCTCTGCATTTTCTGCTTCTGAGTTCACCACGGCCAACGCCAGTTCTCGGGATAAGAGGTCAGGGAAGACCTTCTCTGGGGTGCAATGAGGATTCTTAGGTGATGCATGCGACAGGGCACAGAGAGGGAGCAGGACGCTAACTGACCAGCTACTGGGAGGAATCTGGGCCATACTCATGCGGGGTTTTCAGGATAAAAACATGACACAAGAGCAGAAGGCAGGAAGGGGCGTGGCCACAAGGGAGGTGGGGACGCGCGCGAGTGGAGGGGCGTGGCCTCAGGGCGCCGGG